TAGGCTTTTGAAAACTCTATGAACACTACACAAAGAAGATAGTGATAATTCATTAGTATATGAAAATTAAAACCAAAATGAAATACCTCTTCATAATCACTCGCCCCAAGTTCACGGTTGTCATGAATCAATTCTAATCATAGTTACCTTATAGGACAGAGGTTTTCAAGGTTATAAATCTCTGTGGAAGCAGATTGCTACACCTTCTTCCCATGGAGCAACTGGATTATCTGAACCGGTGACTTTTGGTTAGCAGCAAAATGATTTAAGCACTGTGCAACTAGAATTCCTTCAAACCCAGTTGTAGCAACCCTATGAAGAACAAATCTGAATCTTGCTCTTCCCTGCACCATCCTAGTGATATGCTTGAACTCATTGTTACAATCACTGTGTCAATCCACCTGGTTGAGGTTCTCCTCTCTTTCTCTGACCCTCCACCTTCCCTAGCAGGATATATTTTTCTAAATAATAACTCTTCCTGATAACATGTCCAAAGTATGTAAGATGAAGTTTAACCACCTTTTCTTCTAAGGAACACCCTAGTTGTACTTATTCCCAGACAGTTCTTTCTGAAGTCCATGGGATATTCAGCACTCTTCTGCAACATCATAATTCAAAGAATCGATATAGTCAAAAGGATAGATTGTAAAAAATGTTGAAGAGAATAAAGAGAAATTAGGACCCTTATACATTGCTGGTGGAAATGTAAAATGATATACTGCCTTTAGGGAAAAGTATGGCAGTTCTACAAATGTTAAACACAGAGCCACTATGATTTTGTTGTTACTATATGTACCAGCAGTCAGGAAATCAAAAAAACGTATTGTGATGGGAAAGTCTGCTGTTAGGGACCTCTCTAAAGTACTCAAGAGCAACAGTGTCTCTCTGGAGACTAAGGTGCGCCTGATACAGGCCATGGTCTTTGCAATCACTTGTTATGCATCAGAGAGTTGGATAATGACTAGGGAGGACAGAAGGAGAATTGATGCCTTTGAGCTGTGGTGCTGGAGAAGAGTATTGACTGTACCATGGACTGCCAAGAAAACAAACAGATTCATCCTGGAAAGGGTCAAACCAAGTTACTCCTTGGAGGCAAGGATTCTAGGGCTTCGTCTGACATACTTTGGACATGTTGCAAGGAGGGTGGAGGGACGGTGCAGGAGGGGAAGACCCTCTATGAGGTGGATTGATTCAGTGACTGGGGTAATCGGGATGAGTGTGTCGGAGACAGTGAGATTGGCACAGGATAGAGCAGGGTTTAGGGCTGTTGTACATAGGGTCACTATGAGTTGCAAACAACTCAACGGCACATAACAACAACAACAACAACATATGATTCAACCATCTTTAGAAAAGAGTATAACAATTCTACAAACTTTAAGCACAAAGTTATCATGTTTTGTTATTAATATAGGTCCCACTTTTATGTACACACTCAGTGCTGTTGCTGCTGTTTACCATTAAGTCAGAACTGATTTACAGCTGACACTCCAGCAGATTTTCAGAGGTAGCAAACCACAGGGAAAGAAATTACCCATCTTCCCAATATATTTGAACTCTGTGCCATTGGGTTACTAGTACAGCTCCTTACCACTAATCCACCAGAGCTCCCTATACACTCAGAAGAAACCAAAATATAACTCTACACAAAATCTTAAATGAATGCTTATAATAGCATTATTGACAGTAGTCACAAAGAGGAAATAACTCAAGTGTTCATCACTAGATTAAGGAGTAAAAAAAAAAAAAATTGAGATCTGGTAGTGTGACATGTTGTGTCTTGTACAGCAAACTGAAAGGTTGATGGTTTGTACCAACCAGGACACCACAGGAGATAAACGGGCCATCTTTTCCCTTTAATACTTACAGCCTGAGAAACCCAAAGAAGAGTCACTAGGAATAAGAAATAGCAGTGGATTTGATTGGGATTTTTTATACACAGAATAAGACAGTATATGACAGGTAAACAGAAATTCCAATATATGCCACAACATGGATAAATCTTAAAAACATTATTCTCAGTGAAAGAAGCTAGTTACCAAAAAAGCCACATAAATATGATTCCATAGATATGAAATGTCAAGAATAGACAAGTCAATACAGACAGTGGTGACACAGGGCTCTAGAGCCGGAGGTGGGACATAGGAAGACGAGGTGCTTAACAGGATTTCTTTGCAGAATGAAAGAGAGAAAAAAATGAGTTTGTGGGAGCTACTGCAAAAGTCTATAAATAAAATAAACTGTTGAATGATGCACTTTAAATGAATGATAATTTTTTTGTATGAACGCTGTTTCTCAATAAATGTGTTTTTGTTTTAAAGGATTCAGTAGCTTTAAAATGAAAAAAAAATTAAAAAGATACAATGGGCCTTGGGGATTAGGCAGAGCTGGGTTTTGATTGCCAGTTCCACCACATTTGGTCTTGGGCAAGTTCCTGTTACTAATCTACGCCTCAATAAGTGGGAGCTCCACATCACAACAGCACAGAAAGAAATCAGTTGGCCTAGTAGACAGAAAGTGATGCTCCCAAGCCAAAGGTGGGTGACTTTAATCCACAGCCCTCAGGCTTGTTTTTAATTGTTTTTGGTGAAAAATTCTTCTAGGTTGTATTAACCCTGGTATGTCCACTTGCTGTTCAGTGGTAACTCATGGTTGCTGTGAAGCTGAACACTGTGACACTGAAGTGTCAAATGCAACAATGGTTACCCATAATGAACAGTGTTTGGTGGAGCTTCCCAATTAAAACAAGCCTGGAAGCAGGAGTGATATCCACTTCCGAAATAGCTTGCCTCCGGAAAAATCTATGAACTTGAAGAAAGGATGAAAGTTATACAAGTGCCCAGGTCTTTTGCTCATATGGTCGCTATGGGTTGCCTACAACTTGATGGCATTTAACAACAACAACACCTCATTCAACCAGAAGGAAAGTAAGGAGAGATACTAGCCTTAGGGTGCAGTGAAGGCAGAACCAAAATAATCCTCTGGGATGAAAGAACACCCAAGACCACCAGCTGGACTTAATTATTGTGGATTCCTCAGGAGAAGGTCCCTTTCCTAATTATCACATCCATAATGGTGCCACAGGGAGTACCGCATTATACAGCTCCTCAAAGCCATGTGGTGGACCTCTTCCCACAGCCAAGAGCAATATCCCTCCCACTAGACAACGGTACAACTCCATCCTTTGTCTCCTGCCTATGCTTGATTTACAGAAAAAAGCAAAAAAAAAAAAAAAAAACCCCAAAAAGCAGGTATAACACTAATGAAGCTGAAGATATATAACAAGGATGCTGACAATCAAATTTCAGGCCATTTTGATCTTACTCTGTTCTTCTGAGTAGGTCATTTCCTCCTAGTACTCACAGGCATTAGATGCTTTGTGTTTTGCATTCTCTACAGTGTAATGAAAATAGATGTTGAATGCTAAAACATAAACATATGTATCATTCATAATGCATTCAGATGTTTTTTAATTATTGATGGTTCCAGAAAGTTATTTGACTTATCATGCATATAGAGCCAAGTAATGTTTATATTAGAACCACAGCCTCAATGGACACAATTCCAGCTCCTGGGCATTCCCGTCTGTGGAATTAAAATTAAATGAGTCAGTGGTCAATAAAAGTTACATGTGATTTCCATAAAATCATCCATTGTCTATTGCTCTAGAGTGGAGAAAGAGGGCTGCATGGAGTGGCTGAAGCTGACAGTACATGCAACGCCTGCTTCCTGATGAGGGGGGTGGGGATGATTAGTGTTTCCTAAGAATGAATTGATTATTTCCCTGAATAACTGGTGGTCTTGGATTTGCTCTTTGTCTAGGAAAAAAATAACTCCGGAGGCCACCCTTCTTCTCCTTCTCTTCAGTTTAAGACCTGTTTAAAATAAAATGCCAGTATTCTGGGCTCAAAAACACCACATTCTTCTGTTTTGGTGCTTGCATAAATTTGCATGTTAACATGAAAGGTTCCAACTTAATGTAAAATGAAATGAAATTTGAATTCAAATCCAAGATTGAGAAAAGACACATGTAGAAACAACAGATTTTCAATCTTATTGATTTTTTTTTTCTGGAATGAGATTAGGAAAGATACAAACACATGCACACTTAGGTTTCAAAGAGTAGCATTCAGAGACAAAGATGGCCAAAGAAAGTCCTTCATAATAGCAAAGAAAGTACACACACACACACACACACACACACACACACACACACACACACGTATCACCACACCAAAGAAAGTGCACACACACATACATACACAGTATTTACAGATCCCATCATGTTAAAGTTTTGTTTCAATATCTGAATGAGATCATGAGCTCAGAAAAATAATGCTGAAGTTCACTGTCACATTCCTATGTTCAGAAGCCCAGGGATGAATGTGACTCTGCCAACCCTTAGATCTCTTTCTTGCTTTCTCCTTTAGCTTCCCTGTTGCACTTCAAAGCAGTATAGGTGCACAGACACTAGTAAACAGACTCGGGTTAGTATTCCAAATCCATCCACCATTTACTACTGGCTGTGTTACCTCTGGCAAATGATTTAATTTCTGGATAAAACTTTTCATGGCTTCAGTGTAAATAACAATAGTGCTGACCTTTTTGATTTATTGTGATGACTGAACGCAATAGTCTAATTCACTTTGCACAGTGCCTAGCACAGAAGCAACCTTTGATAAGACTTAGCTGCTATTGTGGTACTAGATACAGCTGTTGTTGTTGGGCACATAGGTGATGGAGTCTGGAGAAACTAGTCCTGAATTCTCTTTTTAATATGCCATCCTATTTCATTCAGACAGTGCCACGATGATAAGTCATGACCTATCACCCATGAGCTCTGCTGGTAGGAAAATGGGATACGTCATTCTCTCATTCTGTTTTGTCCAATATCAACTTCTTCTTACAGCCTGACCATCTATTCACAGGGGCATCCAGATACAAAGAGAACAGGGTCTTTAAAATAAAGAGAACAAAGTGCAAAGGCACCAGCATCTTACCTCATCATCACTCTCCGTCCTGTCTGTTTCCAACTTCTGGACAACTGACTTGTCACTTTGATTTAGCATTTTCTCTCGAACCCTGGTTTCATATTCAGGCCTGGAGTGCTCCTGAAACCCAGAGTCCAAGAGTGGTTAGTAAGCTGGAGAAGAGTAACCAGGGCCTACAGATGATACCAGAAGTCACACGCACATTGAATTCAGGGTTTAGGATCAGGTGCTATGGACATGAATTGTCACACCACACACAATTACATGGAGTCTAGACCAGTAATACAATGTGACAGGGAGAGAAGGGACACACGAGACTTGCTATCACACTGAAGACCAAACCTTGGCACGCTCCTGGGGACAGCGCCGATGTTGAGAAAGAGAGAGGAAATGTTAACTGCACAGCTTAAACAAAGAGAAGCCACATGCTTTGCACAGAAGTTTGACCAAAGGCAGGAAGGTACATCTGGTCAGCCCACCCAAATGTGCTCACATCCCAAAGTTTCAATGAGCAAAATCACAGCCAGAGAAACAGATACAGCCCATATCTGAAAGTTGGGGCATGGGCAAAACCTCTTCCTTGCACGATTAACCTACAAGCAAAATGGTGCCCAGTAAACATCATCAAAGTCCAAAGTGGCCTTGGGGAATCTTTAAACTCACTTGTCTAAACCTGTTTCCCATATAGCCTTGATGAGTAACTCATTGGCAAGTGCACTAATGCTCAGGAGACATCACTGGGCCATTTCACAATACAAACCTGAAGAGTGAGTCATGGGCCGGGGAAGAGCACCTAAACTCATCAAAAAATCCAGCGCGTCAAATCAGTGCAGATGTGGGGATAGGAAGGTCCATGACTCACTTCAAACAGAATTTAACAGTGTACACCTGGCCTCATTGGCAGGTTTTCCCTGCAGCTTCCAGCTCAAGGCTGGATATCTACTGGGGTGAGAACTTCCTGTTTCTGCATCATTTACTGATAACTCCTAGGTTCAATGCTGGTTCTCAGTGGACTCCACTGTTCCTCTGAAATGAAAACATTCATTTTCTTATCACTGGCCTCATTTCAGAGCCCCCAAAGGCTTGCAAACTAAGCCAAAGTGATTGGACAGGAGGGGCCATGAAAGCAATGATAAGCATAACCAACATAACGTGGTGATAGTATCCAAGCTTTTAAAGTCATCACCTTAATCTCCACAAGAACATTCACCCACACTTCCAGGAAACCATCTGTGAGTTTTTTAGTATAAATCTTGGGGAGAGTGACAGGAAAGCTTCTTTGCTCTTGGAATTCCTAGAATTTGTAAGCTTATGCCACACATTCTAGCTTAAAATTACTAATGTTATTATGTCCTCTTGTGGTTGCTGTTTACTTGTTGGGGAGCTTCAATGCATGGCAACATTACGGGAAAGAACAAAGCATTGCCTAGCTCTTCACATCTGCGGCAATTGTGGCTTCCGATTAGAAACTCATCTTTCAACCCTGTAATGGGCAACATTTTGTTGTGACTTCTAATGTTTTCATTGACAAAATTTCAGGAATAAATCACGAGACCTTTCTTATTAGTATGTCTTTGTGTAGAAGTTCCAGGGGAACTTGGCCACCACAGACAGGTGACCGTTCTGGTATTTGAAACATCAGTGGTACAGCTTTTAGCCGCACAGTAACAAGCAAGTCGTCATCGTGCAACAGAATGACAGATGTAAGAAGTGGTGGTGGACTGTTTTCTTGCTGTTTTATTTGTTCTTTTATTTGTAGTTACCCAGTCTCTGTTACTTTACACTTGTAGTAGTAATTATCACCATATCAAGTACAAAGAAATCTCTAATGTTTGTAAAATTAACTTCATTTTTGTCTTTTGCCTTCATCTGTTTTCTAATAGTATTTCTTAAGGTGTCTGGCAAGAAATTTTCAGCTAAAAATACAAGTTTCAGAGTCTAAAATAAAGGGAACTATCACATATCAGCTCTATGAGTCATAATGTGCACACTAAAAGCTCTAAAAAGAGTCTTATTGTAAAGATACTTGCTTAATGTTCTTAAACACCCTCCTTGCCCACAGAATACTGTCCTGCAGGGATATTGCACTTAGAAGGTTTCTTTCATGGCTTATAGCTTCTGTACTTTTGGTTGTTTTTCCTTTACCATGTTGTTGTTGTTGTGTTCCATCGAATAGGAACCAACCCATAGGTGCCTCTCAAGTGGGTTTTCAGAGGCAGTTAATCACATGGGAGGAGATTTCCCACACTTCTCCAGCAGAGCAGCTAGTGGCCTCGGACCATGTGCCTTCAGGATTGCAGCACAGCTTCTTGTCACTAGGCCACCAGAGCTCTGTCTAACAGAAATCTCAACAATCTTCTGTTAGAGAGGGTGTCTCCACTCTCTTAGCCTACAAAATGCGGGAAAGAGATTTTTTTTGGCTGACTGGCAGGGTGCCCTTAATCAGCCTCTCGTATTCTAAAGGCATGCCATGAGGTCACACAGAGACATTTCCTCACAACCTGTCCTTGTAGCTGTGACCCACCTCTCCCACACTGGGCCCCAGTTTAGATTCTCCTCATCTGTTTAGAACAAGCCTGGTTCTCTTGGAACACAAACAGGAAACCAGGATAGTCAACGCAGAGCCTTAGGCTGCTCTGAACTCTGGCTGAAGTAAATAAAAACGAGAACCTTCCCATCCAGCCAAGCAGATTGGGTGAGGCCACAGAATTCCTAAAAGGTAACTAAACTCCTGTGCAGAGCAGAATCTAGACTCTGCGAGCGTTGCCCAGCATGCCCAGCCGTGAGCACGACAGTCTTATTTCTGATGTCCCCAGATACTGTGAGGGATTGCTCACTCCTTTCCTAACCTTGTAAGAAATGGGTCTCCAGTCCTTTATCAGCATCTCCCTGGTTTCAACCTGAACTTGAGACACTTGCTTATCTCCCTTCCCCTGGGATGTTATTTTTATTGTTGAGTGCCTTCAAGTAAATTTTGGCTCAAAGTAGCCCCATGGGACAGAACTGAACTTCCTAAAACAGATCTTTCTTTTCTCTTATTTTCTACTGTGCAGCTGCTGAGTCAGTGTGAACCTTTCAGTCAGCAGTCAGGAGCTTAACTATTGTGCCACCAGGACAATCCCTCTTAAGACAGCCTGCAAGTCAGGGGACCTCTCAGGTAGAAGAGATGGAGGGTGAGTGAGCTTGGGTCTAGCTAGAAGCAGAACCTTCCTTCAATTCAAAGAGGTGAGGGTCACATGGGAGAATAATGTACTGGGCTACAGAGAGCTAACCTCTGATCTCAGGAGTATTCCTGGAAAAGAAGTTTGGTCAAAATAGAACAAAGGTCAGTCATAACCTTCAAGGATCCCTGCCTTTTTCTTCCTAATATGCAAGTAACATTTATAATTTTTGTCCCTCAATTTAAGAATATAAAACTTCGCACAACGTCTTATGTAGGTCATAGAACTCTTACCCAAGTCAGTTATGCCTTCCCATGCATGACCTACAGGAACCTAGACTGGCAATCAGTACCCTCCCAAACCTGGCCACTAGCCTATATGTATTGCTTTGTCTTGCAGTCCATCTCAATTCTTGTTCCTGGCCACAAACTGGACTTTCTGGACTTTTCTCATTTACATCCTGGTCTTGCCCAGCCTAAGGTTTTTATTGACCGCTTCTTCCTGGAGGTCCATTTTTTCTTTTCATTTTTTTAAATTTTATTTTCTATTGGTTTACATACAAAGTTCATCAAGTTCATGTACATTGTTTTTTCACACCTGATCTTTCACTTGGGGTTTTACTTGGGGTCCCTTTTTGCCCATTAATTCCCACTGAAATTTATGTAACGTCTGTGATTTTAAAATATTAGTTTCCTCTTCCTATATTGGCCAGAGACTTTTTCTCCCATATTCTCTATTATTTTGTCAATATTTAATGACCAAACAGCATTCTTGTGGAATTTAACCCTCAAGGTCAGTGACAATGTCTTAATAAGTACAATATTGACCACATTTAACCAAGCCAAACCAAGCAAACAAAAAACTCATCCAGCTGCACTCCTAGTGGCCCCATGTGCTTCGCAGGAGAATTGCTCCATAGAGATGTTATGACTGTGATCTTTTTTTGGAAGCAGATTGCCAAGCCTTTTCTCTGAGGCACCTATAGTAGTATAGAGCTCATCACCACCACCAGCACCTGCCCCTCCCTTGGGCTCTCCTCCTCCAAAATATCTGGCACACAGTAGTTCCTTAATGAACATGTTCAGAATGGAAGTGAATTCCAAGTGAACCTAAGAGCTAAGTCTGGAATCTACATGCATAGAAGAAAAATAGATGGCTAGCCACTTTTCTTGTCAATCAGCCTTGTCCTGGGCAGGGCATAGACCAGGTTACAACTACTGTATAGAATCGTCAGGCCTTGCAAGAATTTTCCCCTAGAGTCTATCAGTAATGTCGCCTTGAGCCATAGGTAAGTTCAATCTTGGCCAGGCTTTCTCAGTCCACACTTCCTCCAAGCGTGTACTTCTGAAGAGGTTACCATGGTTCATTGAGTTAAACAGAAAACAGGAAATCTGGCTACAAAATTAGAAATTAATCTCATTCCTGCACCTGAGATTTCAAGGGTATTGAGTCATAACTGAAGCCATTATGTATGTGTGTTTACACTTCTCTGAAACAGAGACTTGCTGGCTTTCTCAACTCTACTCAGCAGACACACTTAGCTTGTCTCTGGCCCCACGGAGGCTTGGATGCTAGGATGTTTCTTCTTGTCCTCTGTGGAAACATCCTTGCCCCCACTTTAGGAGAGTAGGAACTTCACTTCCTCTCCAGCCTTCCCGCACTAAGCCAAAAACGCCTTTCCGTCTGTCTCTCTCTGATATATCCTAGCTAAATCAAGTAAGATCAGTGGGGCAAAGATGTTGTAGCTACATCACCTGCTCTTACTATCACAAGTGATAATTTAAACATTATTCCCTAAAAAAAAAAAAGAAAGAAATTGCCTTTATCTCTCTCTATTGTTCATCTTAATAATTAATTTTCATTATCTCAGAAAGTAGAATCCTTTTTTACCTTCTCTAAGTTGTCACAAAATCCTTGATGGCATAGGTTTTAAGATATATGATCAAAACACAGTAATAGAATAGAGTGGGAACATGCATTCATCATGCAGTAATATAATTTGGTGGGATGGGATGGAATCGTATAAAGGTAGGATGAAGCCACACTGCTTTGAGGCAAGGTAATTTGGATTGGCAAGACTCCATTTCATGAGGCTGCTTTGCAGACAAGGCTGCTTCTCAGACCCTCTGTTCAAAGATAAGCTGACCCACTAGCAGATTAAAAGGACAAAAATGAGGTCACAATAGACGTGGAAAATTGCAAAAGCTAAGAAAAAAGACTACTGTATTTTATGCAAAGAACATGTGCAAACTATCCAACCCCATAGTATTATTATTCATTTCCTACATGTGCTATGTGTGCTATGTGGGTGCATTTTTTTTGTAGAACTACAGTAAATTTGGAGTATTGCTTGCTTGGACATAAAACTTGAGTTCCAAAAGGTCAACGGTCCTGAGTTCAAGCCAATTAAGAGTAAGAAAAAAGTCCATGCATCCACCATGATGCCGGTGGTCAGTCTTTGCAAGAGAGACTCATACAACTGAGTCCTTTTAGACTCTCTCTTCAATGCCCATTTACAAAGATTAGCTGGTAGAGGTACCTACTCTACCTTCAAATTTGCTGTTCAGTCAGTGATGACATACTGTGTCAATAGACCTTAGAAGTTTTAATAGTCAAAAATAGTGAGCTTCTTGAGATTGGAAGTCAAAGGATTAGAAGGCTGAGTGAAAGTGAGACTGTTTTCTGAAAAAGGAGGAGTTACATAGAAATGGGGAACCATGAGAAACCATGCACAATCAACTCACTGATCTCAAAAGGGCTCTGAGGAAAGTTGGTTTCCTTTCTGTAAAACTATAGTCCAAAGAGCTTACTCTTTCCTTTAGGTAACACTCCAGTTGCACACAGTACATTGGCTAACATCGCAGGCAGTTTAATAGTCTTTGCTGTTCTTCTGGTGTCAAAGGCAACCAATATCTGGCTCTCATGCTTCTACAACTTTATCCCCCAGTAAGGTCACAAAGGCATTTTGACATATATGTCCCCTGGGTCATACTAGAGTTATTCTTATTTTTTAATTCCATACTCATCAAGATGAATGATATGGGAAGTAAATGCATATTGAGTTAAATCTCAAAGCTGCTACAAAGGCTTGTTGCCTCTTGTATCACTTGTTTTCCTAGGACAGGATACTGGAACATCAAACTATCCCTTGGGCCAAATGTCTTACATTCAAGGAAGAGAGAGGATAGGAATGCCTTGCCTCAGTGCAAAACAAATCAATTAACACTGAGTTCATGGAGTCAATCTTATTTCTTAAAACAACAAAAACAACAAATCAGCCACATGGATATCTAGCACGTTGACTGGCTTATGTGACAGCAAACACATGTGACTCTCTCACACATCAAAACAGACCCTTTCAAGGATTAAGGTAAAGCAAGGACCAGGGAAGTATGTATGAGAACTCACTTCTTCCTCTTCTATACCCGTCAGGTCCCAGAAGTAGCCCAGTCGCATCTGTAATCTCTTCCAATTCTCCAGAAACATGGTAGCTTTTGAAAAGAAAGTAAAGAAGTTATGTTAAAAGAGGGGATAAATAATGGACAAGGCATGGAAACAGATGAGGGAGAGAACTGTTGTTGTTATGTGCCGTCGAGTCGTTTCCGACTCATAGCGACACTATGCACAACAGCCCTAAACCCTGCTCTATCCTGCGCCAACCGCACCGCCTCTGACACGCCCATCCCGATTACCCCAGTCACCGAATCAATCCATCTCATAGAGGGTCTTCCCCTCCTGCGTTGTCCCTCAACCCTCCCAAGCATGATGTCCCTCTCCAAGGCCCCATCCCTCCTGGCAACATGTCCAAAGTATGTCAGACGAAGCCCCAGAATCCTTGCCTCCAAGGAGTAGCTTGGTTTAATCCTCTCCAAGACAAATCCGTTTGTCTTCCTGGCAGTCCAGGATACATTCAGTACTCTTCTCCAGTACCACAGCTCAAAAGCATCCACTCTCCTTTTGTCCTCCCTAGTCATTGTCCGACTCTCTGATGCATAACAAGCGACTGCAAATATCATGGCCTGTATCAGGCGCACCTTAGTCTCCAGAGAGACATTGTTGCTCCTGAGTACTTTAGAGAGGTCCCTAACAGCAGACTTTCCCATCGCGATACGCTTTTTGATTTCCTGACTGCTGGTGCCAAGAGTGTTGACTGTGGAGCCGAGCAAACTGAAGCTGTGAACAATCTCAATCTCTTCGCCATCCATCCTGACGCTGCCAATTGGTCCAGTGGTGAGAATCTTTGTCTTCTTGACATTGAGCCTCAGTCCATACTGAAGGCTGCAGTCCTTGACCCTTCGCAGCAAGTGCATGAGGTCCTCCTCAGTTTCAGCAAGCAGGGTTGTGTCATCTGCATAATGCAGATTGTTAATAGATCTTCCACCAATCCTGATGCCACAATTCTCCTCATAGAGCCCAGCCTCTCGGATAATCTGCTCTGCATACATGTTGAAAAGGTATGGAGACAGGATGCTTCCCTGGCGCACACCCTTCCCAATTTTGAACCATGCAGTATGGTTAGGTATCATTTACATGACAAGAGTCCAGAATAAGAGCTGCATAGTAAAGTGGACTTGGGGAGGGGGGGTGTTTATATAACAATGAAAGAATTTTTTTTTCCAAAGAGAAAAGTGAATGGGGGTGGGGGGGGCAGGGAAGAAAATGTGCAACAATGAATGAATGGGAATCCAAGTCCTTATAATCTTTCATTTAAATCTCAATAAAATAAAAAAGAAAAGGAAAAAAAAAATAGAAGTTCTGTTATTTCTGGAAGAGTAGATTCTGAATATGTTTTGGATTCACCAAAGGAAACAGAAGATAAATTTATATAGTTCAAATTCAAGGTCTCTCTTTAAAGCATTTATTCTCTTCCTTCTACTTCTAGTTCAAACACTAAAACATTTCACATCCTTAAAAGGTAATAAGCATGTTAATATTTTGTAATTAGAAATTAATAAAAATGTTAAAAATTGTATTCTCTCTCTCACATATACACACACACACCCCCACACACACGCACACGCACACACACACAGAGCCTTTTTCCTACTTATTTGCAAGAAAAAGGTTATCACAGAGTCCAAGAAATAAAAGAAGGATGAAAAAAGAAAAAAACAATAACAGGAGACTTAGAAAGGTTTGGGGGTTTTTAATCTTTCTTTTACTTCATCTTGCCTTTACATAGATTCTTTATGTCTTAAGTACTACTTACGCTTTCTGGACATGAACCATGTCATTGTGGAATATATAAAAGTCTTCTAATAATTCTACCCAACTCCAGAGTCTCAGCCTTTTAGCCTAGCTCTGTATGCAGCTGATACAACAATCTCCCTTAAGTAGCATCCATTTTTCTATATTCTGGAAATATTTATGGAAACTATACCATTCCTATACATTAGCCATTTCACTTTCCCTAAGCACATCTAACATTAAGAGGAAGCTCAACACGCTCCAGAGGACCTAACACCATCTCCTGCCCCCAGCCATGACTTACTATACTAGAGTGAGCACCAGATCCGGGACCTGCTACCAGAGGACCAGACAAATTCTCTCTTTTTAAAAGAAGAGATAAGAGAAGTCATGCAACAGTACAAAGGAGATATGAGAGAGTTTTGGTTTCTGAAAGCCCCTCCAGAACCAGATCCCAAGAGGCATACTTATATTTAATTTCTGACATTTAGGAGTCTGTCTTTTGCTTTCTTATAATTTGAGCTTTCCCATTTGAGTAAATTGGAGTGAATTTGTAATCCAGACAAAAATAAACCCCAACTAAGACATCTACAATGCACAAAACACTCTTTATGTAGAGTGGGGGAAATTGGATAAATCTTCTGTGTATTTTGCTCTCAAGTGGTTTACAGTCTACAAGGAGGGATTATAAATAACTACAGTACACGGAATAAAGTCATCAGGAATAAAAAGCTGTGGGCATGTGGAGAACAGAGTACTAGCTGCCAGAGAAGGTTTTGACCTGAATGCTAAAAACAATGGACGTTGGGGAATGGAGAATGACCACACTTATCTGCCTTAACTTTCAAAAGTTCTGGTGGTCTAGTGGGTAAAGAGTTATACTTCCCTACAACCAGGAGAAGATAAAGTAGTTGAATGGGATCTTCTAAGAATCAAATCCCTATGCACATGCAAAAACTTCTCCAACAGGGTAAAAAGGGAAGCCCCTGACTGGGAAAAAGTATTTGGTAATGGCATATCAGGTAAAGGACTTACATCCAGAATTTATTAAATACTTGAGCACCACAACAAGATAAAAGTAAATAATCCAATAGAAAAATGGGCACAGGATATGGACAGACACTTCACCAAAGAAGACATTCA